TCCTCGATAAATGGGCTATCTAACACTGAAAGATTTTTTTAAATCGGACCAGTAGTTCCTGAGATTAGCGCGTTCAAACAAACAAACAAACTCTTCAGCTTTATAATATTAGTATAGATATGGCAATTATTGAGGCAGGTGAGTGAGTGAGGTTAATCCCGCTGACTTGAGCAGGAGGGACTCCAAGGGCGGCAACGCAGTTGTGACTTTTGAGTTGCAGGTGTCCGTGGGCGGCGGTAGTTGCTTACCATCTGGTGACCCGTTTGCTCGTTTGCCCCCTTATACCATAAAAAAAAGTTCATGGGCCATGTAACGTCACGGTGTAGGAGTAGAGCCACTTCGGCTATAAATACAAATCATAAAACAGACGTCAGCTAATTTATAAATAAACTTTCGATTTAACTAGTTTTTCGAGTTATATATGTTACTTGAAACATCTTACACATTGTCGGTGTATGTAAGTATATGTAATAAATATAAGATACTTTCAAATTGCCAGACGTATCAACAGGTTACATAATGGCTAAAGATACATAAACATTAAAAAGCTTATCTAGTTCTATTCTGTTATAGATTTTTTGGATAAATTCGTAAGATGCTACAAATTTTCCTATATACTGCTAAGTATATTCTAATTGGTTGTAATTCGGTTGTATCCCAGGATGGATAGGAGCCCTTAAACCGCTTGAATGCTTGTTCGACGATCACGTTTTTGTTCCTAAGACTGATTTCTTATATTTGACACTCATTTTGTCATCAATTGCTGTGCATTTCACGCGCTTGCATTAGCAGTACGATGAGTGATTTACAATTTTAGTGTCACGTTTAGTGGCAGGGTCCACTCCTTGACTAGCGTGCTCTGAATTGCATAAATAAAATGATGGTGTGCTCCGCGATGTATCCGTTGATAGTAAACTTTGTTATGGGATTGAATATGATTTTCGAACCCGAATTTGGTCTTAAATATTCCCATTACACTCAGTGTAGTTGACCATCTGAGTTATATGCGTAGTTAAATACGAGCTTGGCTCTTGCGGCGGATGGCCTTGTATTGCTCAATAGTCAGATGGACGATGCTTCGCCAGTTCCGATAACCGATATTTGATTGAATTATTAAATTTCTTTAGCTTGTTTAATTTGTTTATTACCTTCGTTGGGTGGAAACCTGTACATTTTTAGATATTTATATTCTCGAAAAGGTACCTTTATAGAAATACTTTCTTGTCTCATTGTTTATTTCAGCAATGCCAATTTTATGTACTCCAGACACAATTCTATATACACTATAATTTGTAAATATCATATCAATAAAGTGCCAATGCGTTGGCAAAGATGCGTCGATTGCATGGGTGATTACTTCGAATAACAGAAATAAAAAAGTTTGAAAAAATAAGTACTTTCACTTATTGCATACAAAACGGCAATTTCATAGGTAAAGACCTATTATTAAAATGTATGATGTGTCAATACTATTAAATTTATATAAATATACGACCGCATGTGTAAAACCGGTGAAATATCGCCATTACGGTCAATATCCGCCTTAGAGCTCAATTACCGAATGCAGTTGCAAGTGTTTGACAAGTTGTGGTTGTGACAATCTCAGACGGGATTACAAATCTCGGTCTATTTACGAGTTTGTATCTATTTGCGATCGGTGTTGCACCGATATAAACGCATAATAAAGACATAGTATGACATAGAACAGAAGGCCCATTCTCGTAATAAAAGTTCCGTCAAAATTCAGTTCCGATCAACTCTCGACCTTACAACTGTCATTAAAGGTATATTCGACGTTGACTGTAATGTGATTATATCGTATTATGACCGTAAAGGGTAATCTGCTAGTCTTAGTAATACTTTACTATTTTACTACGAAAATTTTTTTAATGACAGTTGCAAGATCAAGTGTTGATCGGAACTGAATTTTGACCGAACTTTTATTACAAGAATCAGCAGGTATTTTAAATATTATTTCAGATAAGTATCCACTTGTGTTTATTTATTATATATTCTTATACGTTTAAGATAATTACCGTATAATTATCTACATCTACCGTATAATTCTTACATGAGAATTGTTTGACGAGGATATTAAAGGATTAATATAAGAATTAAATTTTAAATAACTATATCATACACCAAACTCTATAATTAATGTTAATTGAGTAATGAATTAAATTATTAACCAATTAAATATAATAGAAGAATTATTTTCAAGAACTAAAAAATATTTTGGTTGATTCCTTTTTTTTTGTTTTTTTTTACATCTAACACACAACGCCATCTATTCTCAAACTAATCAAAGCTTGTGCTATAAAAGCTAGATTGACTGATAGAATACAATATACTTTTTTGTAAATACTCGTACATACATATTATACATAGAAAACACCAAGAAAAAATATTTGCAGATCATACTAACATTTGGTCCGAACCGGGAATCGAACCCGAGATCTAAGCACAGCAGTCGCATACGCTACCACTGCACCACCGAGGCACTCATTTTATACCTACCATACGCCAACCGTCCCTGGTAATTTAATAGTTTTCAGACAGGACGAAAACTGGGGTTAGGAAAATAGGGAGAATAAGAGAGAAAAAGGGGTAAACGGGATTGTGACTACATATGTATGTCTGTGGGTTGGTACAGTTACATCACAGGCAGTGGTGAACGCAAAGTGGTGATTAGAGAGGCGAGAGGGATAGGGACATCAACTGGTGTAAAGAAAGTTCCCAATTTTAACCGACTTCAAAAACATAAAAGAGGAGGTTATCAATTCGTCTGTATTATATTTAAATTATCATATTAGAGATAATTTTGACGCGGCGGTTCCTGTTAATCCTGACTCGCAGGTCAGGGGTTCGATTCCCATCCAGGACAAATAATTGTGTGATGAGCACGATCATTTTTTCTATGTCTGGGTGTAATGTATCTATAATATGTATGTATTTAGAAATGTATAAGAATGTTTATCAGCGGTCTGGTTACCATAGCACAGGATCTGCCTAGTTTTGGATCAGACGACCGTATAAGATATGTGTGAGGTTATTATGGTTAGTAAAGAAACAAATTTCAAGATATCTGGATAAGTGTTCATAGCTGTAGTAACATTTAAGGTATTCGCCCGTTCGGTTAGTTAATGTAAGTACGAGTACCGCAGTAATGAATCTGTTGACCAACGCTCGTTATTACAAAATTACCTGCAGAAATTGCAGTGAAGTGTAACAAAATTATGTCCGGTATTGCATCGAGACTTGTTATCCATATATTAATCGGTTAATATCTTGTTCTTTATAACCAACTCAACAAAATTGGTTTTACTCAATTGGTAAAACCAGACTATAGACCAGACCAAAGCCAAAATCAAGATTTTAAGCCTTAAAGTTATTACATAATGTTTATTTACGGTAAAACCGTAAAGCACCAGAATGTATCTGATTATTGGGGGGTGGGGGGAGTCAAGTGAGCCGCAAGTATAAATGGGAGGCGGCGAGTCACTTAAAATCAAAAGGCCACTTCTCGTAATAAAAGTTCGGTCACAATTCAGTTCTGATCAACTTTCGATTTCTCAACTGTCGTAAAAGGTATTTTCTTAGTAAAGGATTACTAAGACTAGCAGATTACTGATCCAATTTTCGGTTACAATACGATAAAATACACTACAGTCAGCATTGGATGTTTAATACTTTACTACAAAAATAACTTTTATTTTTAATAACAGTTGTGAGATCGATACTGAGAGACCGTAATTTTATTACGAGAATCGCCCTTCAGGGGAATCGTCTGCTTGGTTCCAATTTTTTTTTTCTTTTGTGTGGAAATCCTCGGGTACCACCCACCGGTGGTTATATTGGACTGCTTGATTCCCCTTCTATATCATGAAATAAATCTTTTACTTCTTTGGTTTTCCTTAACATCGATATTTGTCGTCATTGTTAACATTGTGTTCATCGGCATCCAAACTAGTACACACAGTTTTATCTATATAATAGTACAACAGTACTATTCCATGGATAAAAAATACAAGAAGTTATTTAATAATTAAATTACCAGGCTAAGACTTCCTCGCTACAGACTCTTATGACTCTCACCTATTGGAGCTATTACTTACACTCTTAAACAATCATCCTTTTTTTAGTTTTATATATGATACTGGGTGTACCTATCTTTGTTATAATAGGAACTTCACACATCTCACACACGGCGGTTTGTCCCAAACTAGGCAGAGCCTGTACTATAGTAACCAGAGCGCTGATAAATATACTTCTAAATACATAAATATTATAGATAAATTACACCCAGATATAGAACAAATGATCGCATCGCATCACACAGTTATTTGTTCTGGGTGGGAATCGAACCCACGACCTCTGGCTTAGCAGCCAGGGTCACTAACCACTAGACCAACAGGCCCGTTAGATAGGGAGTCTATCTGTATAAGGAGTTTGGGTGTTTTGTATTCACAAAATACAAAAGTCTGTCGAAAAAAGCCTCCTGTAAAGATTGCCACGCATTTCTGTCCTTTGCCAAACGATTCCATACTGGACCAGCTATTTTCTTAAAGTCATCTTCCCCTCTTTTAATTGTATTTGTTTTTCTTTCTCTCGGGTACCAGTCTGTTACTACTTTAGTCCATTTGTCTTTTTCTCTTAGCATATTCCCTGCCAATCGCTAGTTTAGCTACCTGTAGTTTGTGTGTGCATTTTTAAATTTCGTTTTCCTTTTAATTGTTTGTATTTTCACTATATCCCTTATTTTTCTACCTAATATATTCCTTTCTATTCCATTTTGGCAAACCTTTACTTTGTTTTCTAGTAGTTCTGTTAGCGCCCAAGTCTGGCACCCGTATAATAAGCATGTTTCGTATATATATTTTTTTTCTTTCATACTATTAGTATAAAAGCGTGAAATAAAAATAGATTTTACGGAATTTTAATATCTGCGTTTTAATTTATTGATGATGAAGTATAATTTCACTATCCTGTTTATTTAATAGATGTCGTACGAAGAAGGTGACATCATTTATCCTCATACGAAAGAAGAAAAACAAGAGATCAGAAGAGAACTCGGATTAAAAGATAGCGCCATAGAAGAAGACATTGACGCAATCATCGAATGGTTTCAGAAACAACCGCATTTGGTCGAAGCTGGAATAGGTATAAACTCTTATTTCATATCAATAAGAAAACTAAATCGTCTCATTTTCATCACCTAGTAGTCATGTAGCCACTAACGATCCGCCCCGGCGTCGCACGGGTCCAATGTAGATACTACTAATACTACTAATGTGGTGTCAGTTTGGAGTAATTAATTATAACATTATTAAAAAGCTATAACTATATCTTTATATGCAATACTAGCTTATACGGGCGACTTTGTCTGCGTGGTGGTCGACATCAGACATCATAGAGGATACGCTACTACCCAAAAACAACAAAGTTTCATATAAATTTTCAACGCACTTTAAAGGGTGGCATTAAAAAAAAGACACACAATACAATTATTTTCACAGGTTTTGTACCTAATACAATAGTGCCGCCATTTGTTGTAAAAATATGTATAGTAATGAATAGTACCTACTACATTAACAATAATAACAACTTCATCCCACACACGACTGTCCGATCCTAAACCCGGCACAGCCCGCATCACGGCAGCCGTGATGCGGATCACGGCGGCTAGACCGTAAAACACACTCATATACTCCCATACACACCACAGACAAACCACCCCCAGACACCGCAGAAACTACTCTTATCACCCTCTTATCAAACCCACTTATCACACAGCTACTCGACCGGGAATCGAACACGACAATATGAACATGTAATACGACAGGCCTGTGGTACTAAATGTTAATATTGTAACAAATAACATTCAATGCTTATCTTGTGAATGCACTCAGAGCACAACAGAATATGTCCATCTCCCTGTCTATGAGGCTTAAAGTGTGAAATGTGTGTGAGTGAATTAACAGTAGCAGCAGTCAACATCTAAAACCACCAGAAAATCACAAATGAAAAAGGACCCTACTCTAATAGACACTTAATTTATTTTTTGTAATTTGAAAAGAAAACCATAGGTTTTCCATGAAACCATGGGTATTAATAACTAGTTTCCTTTTTTAACTTTTAATACTGATACTAATCGTTTTTGTCAGCAATATCATCGTCTGTCGGCGGCAATCATGTTCCATGGCGGCAATCATATTTCTCTTGGCCCCTTGGGCATCTTTAAAGAGCAATACCTCTAGTAGTAGAAGTTCCTGAACACATTGGGCATTAGTAGACAACAACGAACCGAGTTTCATTGCTTCGAATGATATCAATCAAACGAGTTCTCGAAGTTATAGCCGACATTATTGACTTCTTTCACGACTCCGAAATCTTTTCCTCTTTCTGGCACAAAGCCTACATCATCCCATTGCCTAAAATTAATAATTCCTTGTCTACCTGAGTATTTCTGTCCAATTCCTATCCTTCCTTTCATATCAAACGTTCTTGAAGTATTCTAGGAACTAGCTATTCTAGGAAGGAAATAAGAATTGTATCTATTATTTAATTCTGTTTATAAAATTAAATACCTATTAAAATATTTATGTTGTAAGTTACTAATATTATTATCTTTATATCTTAGTAATATTTGAATTAAATGAATTCACTTTTTTATTTTGCAATCACAAGCTGCGTTTCTCGAAGTTTGACATAGTATTTAGTCCTGAACATAAACTGTTATCAACATAGTAAAAACTTGAGATTTATATCCGTGTAGACTCTAATAATCCGATCCTATTCTGAAAGGTATACATTTTAAAGGATCTAGCACATCACTAGTAGTCATATCAAAGGTGTAGGTATGCTATTGATAACCGCCTACAAAGTAAGCTTTATTTGTAAACTTTTTAGTTGTTTGAAAAAGGTAATATTTTTAAACCAACAAGGTTCTTATAAATACACAAGGGTTTGAAGTGGAATATTAAATCACTAACGTCATTATTGTAACCTTCTTTTGATGTAGTTGAATTGGCATCTCTTGAGATGATTTTATTTGTTTTGTCTTCTGTATGTATTCAGTACATACTATTTATCGTATTATCTAAGGCCTTTCAAGTTCATTATTTGTTAAAATACGTAAACAGAATGGTGAACATAGTAAAATATTTGTTATTAGCTTGTTGGTCCAGAGGTTAGCGATCCGAATTGCGAGGCAAAATGGCGTGGATTCCATTCCCATCCATGACAAACAACGGTTTCATAACAAGTTTAGTTTCAATTTCCCATGAAAGAGTGAAAAAGAAAAAAACTAATTCTTGTATGTTTTCCACAGATAGAGAATATGTGGAAAGAATGCTGATTATATCGAAGGGATCTTTGGAGAAGACGAAACGCAGAATCGACAGTTGGTACAAATACAGACTTCTAGCACCTGAACTGATACAGGGAAGAGAAGCTATCCTATCCGGATCACAAGATTTGTGGACATCATAGTAAGTGTTATTCTTTAAAGATATAAATTATTCCTGAAGACTATATAACTAGATGACCCAGTGAACTTTGTATCATTTGCAATTCGTTTCGGGACTTTCATATGAACTTCTGAAAGCCCTGTCGTAAAATTCATGAATCTCTTAGCTGATGTGTCCTCTATGTACTTGTAAAATAATGATTCTTTTAGCCTACCCGAATCCGGCTATTTCGTAAAATCCATTTTTAATTTACTAACATGGTACTCGTACTAACCCGCTACTATAATACTTGAACTAAAGATTTTCGTTTAATATAACCAGAGACTTCGGTTCTGTCACAAATCGGTCAAAAACTAATGTCTTCTACTCATAAACAAAAAGCAAAATCTTAGACCTCATGCCCAAAAAACGAAGGTCTTTCATATTAAGAATAACAGGGCTGATACCTCCTTAATTCAGCCTCGTAAAATCTATTTACTTTACTTAATTTATTACTACTTATTATGTTGTAGAACTTAAGTGTGATGCAGATAGTCCTAAGTTCTTAGTAAAGTGTGAATAGAAAATTTTAGTAATTTTAAAGTTGTTTTGATACAGTGGGTAATAAGTGAGGGGCATCGACCTTATTAGTTGCTTGTCGGTCGCCTTGTAACCATAGTTACTGTAGGTATAGCGTTGCAGCGAAGTCAAATGTTGATTTTGATGAAAACACCACCTCGATTGTCCGTGTGGTGACGAATTAAGAATAAAGAGTGTCACCACCCCTATTCATCCCGTGGGTGTCGTAAGAGCCGACTAAGGGCAAAAACTACGCAGAACAACAGCACTGCAGAGAGAAGAAAAACTTGACACAAACCCTATTACCAACCCGTGTGGCCAGCGTGGTATAGTAGGCCAAAACCTCCTTCCTAAGGAGAGGCTTATGTCCAGCAGTGGACTATTAAAGGCTGTTGATGATGACCACCTCGATTATTAGGAAATGACATGTATATACGTATTAACGATTAAAATCAACGATTAAATAATTTTCATCAGTTATAAAAGTAATTTAACTATCAAAATACTTTCGTAAGAAGGAAATCTTGCAAAGATGTTTCTTTGTAGGATGTCTTTCTCGACCTTATGATGATCTGTTGGTTATTTCTTTAAAATTCAGTATTTTGACCACTAAACGTAGAAAAAGGTTGTGTATAGATTCATGGCATCTAGAACTAAACATACCTAAGTCTAACATGAATAAGTTTCAGAATTTCACATAATTTTAGCCCGACTGCATCAGAAAGATGGATTATGGTGTTTGAGTATATGTATATCTTCTTTGACGCTATCTGTAGCCTAAAGGACTAGACCGATTTTGTCTTGGAAGGTGTCGTTACATTCCTCTTTGGTGTAAGAGGGACGTTGAGTTTATAAAAATGAAAACCCGTCTGGCCAGCATGGTATACTTGGTCAAAACTTCCTTTCTAAGGAGAGGCAGTGTATCCAGTATAGTTACCTAAAAAATCAGCCGTTTTTTTTTAATTATTAAAAAATCTTCTTCTTTATTAAGTACCTCTGACGCAGTCAGGTTTTTGTTTCTTTTAATAATTAGCTTATTCTTTTAAGTTTCACATAAAATGCCTCTTCAATTATGCTAAACATGATTTTATGACTTACATTGTTTAATATTTATTGTTATAATGTATCATGCTACAACAACATCTGTTATGTCCATGGTTATTGTACCATGATAAAAACAATGGCTTCCCAAAATTTAATTAACCATGGTTATTTTTTTGTTAAATATTATTGATGGAAGATTATATTGTAAAATAACTTTAGCTCATCTTTTGTTTATAATCGGGTATTTTATCAATAACAACGTTAGCTAACTTGTCAACTTCTGCTAAGTAAGTACGAACATTTTTGTCCTATAAAGCTGTCAATGATTTTTTTACCATGTAGATACAGTAAAAACGTGTAAAAAAGGTAAAGTTCTGGTCAATTATTTTAAAATAGGAATACATAACATACACAAAATTACAAAAAAGAGATTTGTTTCGTTTTCTTTTCTTTAAAACCTAAACTTTAAAATTTATTTATTTCATTACAATTGTCATTGTCTGTGTGTTGAACATAAACTGATTGTAACATTAAAGACAACTTGTAAATGTTTACCTACTATATTTGTATCTAATACGAGATAAATTTGTTTGTTACAGTCTTCAAGTTACATTGCCTAAGCTTTTTCAGGGACGAAGAATAACTGTGGTTAAGATTTTAGATGTGGATACAAGTAACTTCTCTTGCGAAAATTTGTTTAGAAATACGTTTATGGTAAGTTTAAATATTTAATAACATATTGATACATCTTATATCCTTTAAGAGGCGTTCTTCAATCTGAACAAGACGAATGAATCTATCTATTCAAGAATGAGACAGCAACAAATATACTCAATCGTATACATATATTATTTGTTGAGCTGATAAAAATAAAAATCAAGTAAATAGAGTTGCAACTAACTAATTCGAGTTTTACCGTACATCAATGGCGTCATATGTTACTTACATTGTCATAAAATATCACAAAATGCAAATACACCTAGAAAAAAAAACACAAACACAAAAAGCATCACAATAAAACCGTGAGGGTAGTACACAAAAAAGTGTACGTAGTTTGCAATGGTCACATCAACCGAGCGTCGATGCTGTAATATAATATTATATACACATTAATTTTATCTTACTACACTATATACGTTGTTCCAGGGTATGAAAAATAGGCGATTGAATTTTGTAAAAAGTATTGTTTCAACTTTGTTTTTATCTTTACCTTTGTTAATGATGTCTTTACGGATTTTGGGAGTTCATTTATTAAGAATAGTACAATGTATTTTAAGTTATTTTCCGAATAGATTTGTAAATAGAAGTAGAAGATTGAAGCTACGGGTTTTTTAATCAAGTGTATCACGGGCTTTCTATTTTTGACGATCTACATTAAAGTAATCCTCGGTTAGTAACGTTCGTTTTATTTTCTGATGTATAGGAATAATTTTGCAAAAATCAAATAATTGTTGGCAGTCGTTCTTAAATTTATTTATTATTACGTGGTATTCTCTCTCTTAAAGTTTTAAGTTGAAGTACATATATTTTGTCAGGGTGGCTCTTGTAAGTACTGCCGTAACTCGAAAGGCCATATAAGATTATTCAATCTGCCAGAGATTTATAGAATGTTTGTTATGGTATAGTATGTTTAATTATGGAGAATTTGTCAAGAATAATACTTAGTTTGTTGCACTTGATTTATGTGTTCTTTCCAGTTTAGCCGGTTGTGAATAATGAGTCCAAAAAAGGTTTGTTTCTCAACGTTTTCTATGGTATAACACACACACAAATACAAGGAATAGTCAAATCAACGTAATTAGTCTTATGTAGAAATGTAAGGGCCCCAGAACACAGCCTTGAGTTGTACCTTCCGTCACTATGATGTTTTCAATAAGCACGTTTTCAACTTAGACCATAAACTTTCTATCCCAAAAGTGGTACCTACATCACTCAAGTAATTTGCCTCTAATACCACTGTCAAAGAGACATTCTATTAACCTGTCATATTTGAGCGTATCAAATGCTTTGCTGTAGTCTATAAATACGAGCAATACGTAATGTTTTTGTCTTGATGATTGTACGAGTATATAGCATCTGTGAAAGCTGAGAGTAGTTGTGATGTATTTTTATGAGATTGAAATCAATATTGATTTGTTGACAGTTTTTTTTTCATAAAAGTCATAGACTTGTTTGCAAATGTATTTTTCAACTATTTCATCTATGGATGGTAGTATAATTATTGCTCTATAATTTTCATATTCAGTTTGACTGCCTTTTTTATTATTATTATGCCTTTTATGTCCGTTTTTAACATGGAATGATATTAATATTTTTAACGTCAACAGTCAAGATAACATCTACTCCTTTCTGAGTGCTTTATTGTTATTTGGTGACATTTTTATTTTCTTAATTGAGTGAGACTCAGCTGGTTTACTATATAACGTATTGTTACATTAGCGCTGCTACTATAGTGTGACTTGATTAGCAGAGGTAATAAGCAATTTGGAATTAAGTCTTTAACGTTATTGGAGACCGTTTGCCCAAAATTATTAGCAATTTGCTTGCAGGTTCTACTAACGTTTTTGAAAGCATTGATAACAATATCATCGATAGATTGTTTGATTCGTCCTGTCAATCAGTTCAGTATTTTCCAAAGGTATTTTGTATTGTTCTTGTTGATAATAATGTCAGATTTGATCTTGTTGTATTTGGTCTTTCGTATTAAATAATTTGCATAATTTCTTGCTTTATTATAGTTTAGTTTACTGTTCATATCATAAGGTTGTTTAATCTATGGATTTATCGATCAGTAGTGTTGAAATACGGTAGGCATTAAAAATAAAATATTAATAGCTGCAAATTACATGAAATGCGATTCTTCAAAAGAGCCTATATATGAGCCGGATATTGCAAACACCTTTATTCAGACTAACATACAAAGCTTGCCATGCTGCTGCACCTGCAATAATTACATTTCTTTTTTCGTTTTTATTTAATAGTACCCGTCATTTTTGGCAAAATTGTGTCTAATATTATTATTGATCATGCCTGATTTTGACAACAGAAACGAATTTTTGTTACTTAGTAAGAATTACTTCTCAAGAGTAGATATATAAGTGTGTATATCTTTGTATTGTCTTTCAGATGGCTGATATAAGACTGAGGAATGACTACTTTTTGGAAGATATCTGGGTGTTAGATTTAAAATACGCGTCATTTTCGCACTTGCTTAGACTAAATCCAGTTATAATGCAGAAAGCAGCAAACTTATTTCACGTAAGCTTTTGAAATGTCTATATATTGTACATTATAATGTACTAGTTGTGTGTTCGCGTTTGTTATTCCTACACCCTGACTTTTGCCCGCCTCTCCACCTAGACGCCCTGGACTCTTCTATAGTCTCTACGCTTCACATGTGCTTGGGACATGGAACCTTCATGTATGTATTAGGCCATTATCTACTGATCTACATACACCACACACAAGATTATTAACTTATCGTTCTTTTCCCAATTGCATTTGGGGCTTTTGCTATTTTTTAATGTCGACCGCCTAACTAATGGGAACCTGTTTGTTTTTTTTTTATGTTAGAGGGGGCAGACGAGCAGACGGGTCACCTGATGGAAAGTATCGTGAGTATGGTGAGTATCGGTCCGGGAATACCGCAGACGATAACCCGTTCCATAGTTTGATTGAATGTTTGTGGATGTAATTATTGCTTAGTTTGAATACTAGCTGGCATTGTATGTCAGATGGCCGAAATTTTCTTCAGACTTGACAAAGGAAAGAGTTAAAATAGGAAAATGCAAAGGGCGAGGGTGCTAGAGAAATGTTCACCACAAGTAAACTAGTCTATAAGGTCCAAATAAAAGCCCATTAAGACAAGGAAGTCTACTGTTTCATTCATGTTGCATCATGTTCCATATAACAAATAATTATACTTAAGACTTAACTTCAAAGAAGACATAACCCATTATTAATATATTAATCATGTCTTTATTTTGTCTTTATTACAAACCTTCGTGATAATGGCGGGATTAGTTAATTTCTGTTCGTCAATTGTAACACTTTGTTTTTCCAACTAGAAATAGGTTATACGTCACAGTAAAATAAGGCCTAGTGATTGATTTTACTGATTATGATTAGTTAACAATCAATGAAAAAGCAGTGTAAAATTCGAGTGTAGTCGGCAACAGATATTAGCTACAGACACGCCTGTGACTGTAGAGCTTGGCGCAACCAAAACAGTAACGTGCACGGGTGTGTCTTTAAAACGCTCAACGGGTTAATAAAAAAGGTACCTTTAACTTACTAACTGATCTATATGAATATTTACATTTTGTTCCAGGAGGGTCTTGGTATGAGAATCAACTCGATCCACGTGCTAAATGGGATGAATCTACTCCAGCATTTAATCACTTTCATGAAACAGTTCTTTAGTCCAAAGATCTTGGATCGTGTTATAGTCCATGACAGTCTCGATTCTTTATATATGCATGTCCCGAAAAAGTATTTACCTAAAGACTATGGAGGCGAGGAGAAATCGATGGTTGACTTCAAAGGTATGTACAACATCTAGTTTACTTCTCCAACGTCTACAATGGATAGGTAATAAGCTAGACTTACAAAAATCTAAATTCAAATCAAATCAAATTCATTTTTTATTACCGAAAAGAAAAGTACAAAATATGTGATACATTGCCGGTGGCCCCACACTAGGCAAGCCTGTCCTGTGGGTGCCAGTTGCGATTACACATTTCGCTATACATTGTTGTTCGGTAGACATTACATCGTCGTTTTCAATTTAAAGTATACAGTGTTACTTGCTTATATTTGAGACAGCAATCTATTTCCTCCGAGTATGCGTTTGGAAAAAAAGAGAAAAAAAGAAAGGAAAAATGATTAAAAATTAAAAACAATAATATTGGCAAAACAGCGTTGGTAAATATATGCATGAGGTTATTTTATAGATATTATTATTATAAAGATAAAAATAACTAAATGTGTGTGTCTATATTGGTTTATGCTTCCTGTAAGTTATGATTATTTATTCATTATTCGGCAATACAAAACATGTACCATTTTTCGGTACGTTTTAGATTAATTTTCTTTATTTTGTTCTTTAAAGTAGATATGTATTTATAAGTTTTAATAACATGAATAAATTTCAGAATCTTACATATAAAATATATATTATTCATCAATTTCCTTATCATTTTGCACCTGAAAAGTGCAAAATGATAAGTTTGAACACCAGTGTTCAATGGTTATTCACCGTTATTATCATGCACCGATGACGATGATGATATGACATGGTAATATGGTGGTATCTAAGGTATAGAATAATACTGGAAGGTTTTTTTGGTTTGTGTCGATGTTGACAATTGTTTAAAAATTATCCTCCTCTATGTTTTGTTTAAAAAATTTAAATGAGGTACCAATTTTCACGATACATGTAAGTTTTAATGTGAAAAATATGGCACTGTAGCTTTATTTAAAATACTATTAGTTTCTGGACGAAAAGTACCATGTATCTGGTTATTTCCTTATCGAAATGTATGCAAATTTCGTGATAGTCGAAGGAACAGTGTGGCAGTACCTACGACAAACAGCACTGATTTTGTTCTTAATGATATCAGATTACATAAATTAGTAAATTACAATAGAATGGCTAATTTAATAGTAATTAGAATCGTTAAATGTAAAAGAAAATACGTAAATACGTTTATCAAATACATGAAAAAAACGTGACGTTAATAGGTAAAACTAATAAAACCGTTTCATTGTCTCGCTGTGAAAAATGATGTAACCAGAATCTTTATGAACAATGATATATTACAATAAGACAATTTACGTAACTATTAACTATTTTAGAATATAAAGATTTACGTTATTTTAAATGGGTATTTAAGATAAATTTGCTGAATGACAGTTACAAATAGCACAGTTTTATATTTCATCGGAAAAAGTATATTTCATAGAGCGGTTTAAAAGGCATTTTTTTTTAAAAGCGTTCTGACCGATTTTTTTCCTACCGATTCTGCAGTTCTGTACAGGTCCAGGTTTTAAAACCACAGTAATATCTCCTTCTAACTTAAACAAGAGATAAATTAACATGTATGGACAGACATTACAAGCATGTTACTTTTGTTACAAGATCTTTATAATTCATTTATTCATTAATCTTTAAACACTAATGATTCTAATTGTTTCAGATACGTATGAAAAAGAATTAAGAAGCACCAAATATAAGCAGTTCCTGATAAACGCAATGAGCATCGTTTCAAACGAAAAGAAACGACCCGATTCTGACATCAACGAAGAATATTTAGCTGGTTCATTCAGAAAATTAGATTTCGACTAGGCATTCGACTCCTTGTATTGTTACGTCAAAGTTTCATTGTTGTGATTTTATACTGCTAGTTATATTGGTCAAAATTTCAGAAATATTTTATATTTACTTCTGGACACTTGCCGTAAATCTAGACTTAATAAGTTTTAAATGATAGTGAATGTTGGACCTTGATGGTCCAACATTCACTATCATTGTGTCATGTCTAAGAATAAACAAATATTAGCATGAACGAGTAAATAAACTGTACTTATGAATGTAAAAATGTATATTTTAAGTGACAAATTGACATTAAGTTATGAAATGATGGTCGACAAAACATATATTTGTTGATTTTGTCTATAACCTCCAAATGTATTACGCTCTTTGTTTGTATTATATTATAGTAATAGTATATTTTGTTTTAAAGTTTTATTTGTTGTTGAGAGACTAAATTTAAAATAAAATAGTATTATTTAATGTACCGATCTAGAGGTCAAAGTCTATGACGTCAAAGATCTAATGATAAATTCGCAAATGTTATTTTTTATTGTGTTTATACATAATATTTCACTTTATCGCTCGAAATAAAACTTAAACGTGGGACCAAAATATCATTGTTTAAAGATGGGTGCAAACATAATTATATAACGGTAAGAACAAACTCACATACGTAATGCGTTTTAATGCATTGCATTTTTATAAACAGCAACTCCTGCACTTGGAATAAATCCTGTATCGCGGGAAACTTTACAAACATACCTGAAAAGGATACAAAGGACACCCAGACTCAGAACAACAATTTATGGATTACACAAATTGTTGTCCCATGTGGGGATCGAACCCACAACACTCAGCGTTGAAGGAAGCAGCGAGATGACCGCTTAAACCACTACGCCATCCGTGCAGTCAATGATTTATTATTATTACGATTATAAAGAAAAATTATTAGTAATCATATAATGACGGAAAAACTAGGTCTTTCTGGTAAATTTCAGGCTTTACTGAGTGGAAAGTAGTGACTGTTCGAAATGAAGACGATCAAACGCATTACGGACTTTTACCATTAATCATTGAGTTCATACTAATCGACCTTTACTGACTAACTTTAAGATTTACCAGAATGCGAGCTTTTACTGTAACTGACTATGAATATATATAAACCATGAAATTAATTCTATAATGGACTTTAAAAGAGGAATATTAATAAATTTACAAGGTAATTTCAATATTATTACGTTAAATTTCTCATTCGTGGCTGTTATAATAAGTCAAGTTAACCTTTACTTTTATATTAATTGTAATTATTTTTACGGTTATTGAAAATATGTGTGTTTTTCATCTCTAAATCACGATGAAGATTATTTTCAGCAAAACATAATATATTTTACTTTTAGGCATATTTATATAAGAATCTTAGTTTGGTATGTATTGTTTGTAGAAATTAAAAACAAAGATAAATTTAAGACGATAATGAATAAATGTGTCTGAATCTATCCTTTTTTGGTTGAATTTTTTTTATGCTACATAAATATTACTCATTTGTCCACATAAACAAATCAAAAGTATATTTTATATGAACCAACTACTTGCTATTTTAATACTTTTCACAAAATTCACATAGGTACGTACAGAAGGTACAGGACCTAATGCATAACCTTGAAGAACTCCTTCAGTAAAGTGTGAGAAAATCAGTTCTAAACCCATTTCTTTGATTATTTTTTTCAGCCGATGTCCGTCTGTCAGTTTTCGTTGACTAATGAGCTATAAGACCAAGTTGTTGAGTTTTAACTGAAGTCAAATGATCTAAAACACACAATAGGACAAACCGGAACAAACATTTATTTTTTTACAATAGGTACCATTATTAGCACCATCTTGACGAGTAAGTACTGAAGTACCTGTGTGTGTATCATCGGTTATCGTTATCGGTCGTTAAGAAAAAATATTCTTAGGTAGCACATGAAATAGGTCATCAATACTACCATACAGATGTAATCTGGAGGCGTGTTTAACTTTCACGACCTTCTTATGAAATGCTGAGATTGAGTGCGCGATGGTAGGCACGTTAACTATATGGGATCTTTTAATTTTTATTGCGAAGAATAGCTGTGAATAAAACATTACGATATAATAATAAAACATTATACAATAGACCCAACGCTACTGATACTGAAGTTTTAAGCACGTTATACACCTCCTTTCTAAGGAGAGGCCTATATCCAGCAGTGGACTAGTATAGGCTGTTGATGATTGATGATGATGATAAAACAGTTCTGCTTGTAAAATAGAAAACTTGATACTCTCAGTCAATTTTTTTTTTGTTTAATATTTGTAAATGCTGTCAGCATATCCTAGACACCAGAAACAGATAATTTGGTAATTTATCGTTTCCCTACCGTGACTTTGGCAGAAGGAATTGGTCCCAATTCTGACTATTCTTTTTATGGATGACCGAGTAAATTATACGAGAAAATAAAAGATGCACGGCACAGCTTACAAAGGTGCCAAAAAAAACATCCCAAAAAACATTTAATTAACAATATGGAAGTGATTTCGGTATATCGTGCAAGTTTTTTATAAATACAAAAAATAACCGAGTATATCTTAAACTAATTATGCTTCTGAACAATATCATTTTTTTAGATAAAATGATACTCGTATGATACACAATAAAACGACGATTAAAAAAGACTAGCGATGAAAATCGAAAAATTACTAAGCTTTCGAGTTTCAGGTCGATCTATTTATTTATTAAAACTTCTTGCATGTTTTATACAAAGACGAACTTAATATCTAAGACATTAATCTGCCCATTATCCTTAGTTTGATGCAGAAATGTAATTATTGGAAGAGCAAAAACTAAAAAAAAGAATTCAGAAGAGAACTAGAGGTTTGTAAAAGAAAATAATTTATGATTTAAAGTTTTGTATTACATCATTTGTTCGATTAAGTTGAAAATAAATATACACATAGCATTCAATACTAGCAAATCATTAGACACGTAGTTTCCTGTGCAAAATTAAGATACTAATAGATATTCATCTATACAAATAAATAAAATTGGAGTGTCTGTTTGTAATATTAAAATAACCGCTTTTTACTAAATGCATATGCATACTAAATGTATGTTTACACGGTACATATGCGAAAATAACATTTTTTACAATTTTTGTCGGTCTGTCTGTTTGTTCCGGGTAATCTCTGGAACGGCTGGACCGATTTCGACGGGACTTTCACTGGCATATAGCTGATGACATAAGGAGTAACTTAAGCCACTTTTTTAAGACTAGCTTCGCCTCGCGATGTTTACCGCGGTTATAACAACAAACGCGGGTAACACCGCGGGTCTCAGCTAGTGTAATATAATATAGAAACCTACACACGTTTACGCTGTAATTATAAAGAAAGATCCTCTTATCGTAAATCGGTGCAAAATGATTTTCATTTTTTAATATGTAGTCGCTTTTCTTGTCAGGCGGACTACTCACCGGCCAACCCAGTGGAGAGATTCCCGAGATTACCTCAGGGCGCCTTGTAAGAGAACAGAAGTGTGTGCGTGTGGGAAACCTACGGGACTCCTTAGAGGAAAACAACTTACACCTCAGTCATACATACATGTATATTTCAAAAAAAAATTAAGTTACAATAATTAAAAAAAAAATTTAATTAGTGGGTATAAAAAAAACCGCAGCGGCGCGCGTCAGAGCCGAGCTGATGGTGCTCGGAGCCTCCTCTCTCGCACTCCTAGCACTCATATTATCGATCAGGTTCCAGAAACAAATAGGTACAGGAAAAAATAAGAATATACTCACCACTTTCGTGGGTACTTTGAACAGATAAGATATTACTAAAATAAGATCACCAGACAAAACACTATTTAAGATTGGAAGACAAGAGTTAGCAGAGTGTCCCCTGTGGCTGAAAGCCGGACTTATATATGTTCGGTTTGTGAAGTTTCCAGAAATAATCCCTACTTAACATTTTAATTTGACATTTAAATTATCAACGAAGTCAACACGAACAAAATCAAAAGTAACTCGCTTCCTACCATAACAAAACACTTTTAACACCTATACAATTTGTCATGATAAATTAATAAAATGACTTATCTACAAAACAAACGCCATCTAGTGGTCCGACGGCGAACGAAGAACATCAATACTATAGTTATAAACTACTTTGGATAAATCAAGTAAATGCGACGCGGGCAATAGGTGTCGCTGTTACCAAGTCCGTACGCAATACAAATATACTAAAAAAAATAACTGTTACAAATACTTTGACAATATACAATTGAAAATATTCATGTAATAAAAAATAAAATCGTCGGAAAATTAAAAAACTTACTACATATTTGGGTTCAACTGCGTAGTGTCACTAAGGGTGGTCTGGCTAAAATCAAAAATCCAATATTCGCCTTGACTGATATTTTATCGAACAAGTAAGTCTATAATCGTTTCCTGTAATGTATAAGTCTAAGCAAACTATGATGAAATGTTATTTTTCGGAATAAAACAATGATCATTCGTTCTTTGGCTTTCATTTCGAAAAGCATCTATGAATCTCAAAAGCCATTTCACTAAAACCATATTATGGGGAGTAATGAATCATTGAATCGGGTTCGATTCCCACTCAAGTCAAACATTTGTGTGCATGAACATTTGATGTTTGATTTGGTCTGGGTGTTTCTATGTTTAATATGTATGTATTTACAAAAAAAAAAAAAGTATATATGTATTTATATCAGTTGTCTAGTACCCATAGTACAAGCTCTGCTTAGTTTGGGACTAGATGGCGTTGTGTGTATGTGGTAGAATATTATTAAAATTATTATATTATTATTATTATGTCATTTTATACCTTGTCTGGTCTCCCTTTTATTTTAAAGGGGTAACAAAATCTAACACACGGGCCTTAGCCAAGTGTGCCAAAAAGGGATGATGGTAAGAAGTTAAGATGATGAGGATGAAGCGAGAAATTTGCGTGTGAGACGGCATGTGTTAAGAAGGACTGCTTTTTGTAAGAGTATG